ACATAGATCAGCAGAAGTCAGATACCTCAGATCTGTCTCCTCTTGCAGCGGAAAGATATGAAGTAGCACGTGTTGAAAGACAACTCCAACTTGTCCGAGCAACAAAGTTGCTTCATCTTACCCCAGCATTGCATGGATCGACTGATGGAAGGATGAACAGAGTATCCCGATTCAACCGCTTTGCAAATGGTGATGTGAGTGAACCTATCGCCTGGCTCATGATGTACGAGAGAATCGTCTACTTCAGTATTTTGCAGATACTGAAGGCAATCGCCAAAGAAGAGCCACAAGACTTGCGCACGAAAGCGGAGGCATCACTAAAGCTGCCAGTGCCTTAATTTCCCCAGCACCTTCACCGCGCAACAACGACACGCTGGAGCATCTTCGCAACCTACACCCTAACGAAGATCCTGACGATATTGCTACTGCGTGGGATTCCAGCATCAAAGCTGCGGGAGATCGTATAAAAGCGCACAAGACTCCGTCGCCGAAGCTGACGAACCATTGGAAATCAAGTTCATCAAGCAGACGGTAAACAAAGCCAACCCTCAGAGTGCTCCGGGGCCTGGATGGTCTTCGTTTTTCGTATCTCCAAGCTGGTGGAATGAGTGATTTTTCACCGAAACCTTGGCGGACTTCAGCTTTAAAGTCTTCTACTACGGAGACCAGCTTCACGGATTTCTTTTGGAACCTCCACACCAGTGCCAACCTTTCAGCGCTGGGAGAGAAAAAACGGCCGATTGCAGTTGGAGGGGTTTTGCGTCGCATCATCAGCGGCAGCTTCTGCCGCCAGTACAAGGGAGGGATTGCTAACATCTTCGAAGCAGCAAACCAGTCGGAGGTGGTGTTCCAGGAGGAGTTGAGATACTGGCCTCCACAGCAGCCCTCAGCCACCAACGAGGCAGCACCATTCTTNCCAGTACAAGGGAGGAATTGCGAACATCTTCGAAGCAGCAAATCAGTTCGGAGGTGGTGTTCCAGGAGGAGTTGAGATAGTGGCTTCCACAGCAGCCCTCAGCCACCAGCAAGGCAGCACCATTCTTTCCTTTGATGGAAAAAATGCTTACAACAGCATGCGCAGATCTTCCATCTTACCAGCAGTGGCCACTCATACACGACACTTGGTGAGATACTTCGGGAACATCTACGCTCGAACCAAGGCGAAACTTGTCTTCAAAATGGAAGATGGTTCGATCGAGGTTGTTCTTTCACAACGCGGAGTTCAACAAAGCTGTAATCTGGGAGGGTTCGGCTTCTGTGTAGGACTCCTCGATATCATGAAAGAGTTCAACAACAAGTCACCTGTGCCAGGAGTCAAACTCATCGGATACGTCGACGACCTCCAAGCACATCTTCCACCAGGTTTGGCTAGGAACATGCAGGCCATATCCACTGTAACGAATTGGATTCAGGAACGTCTCTCCCAAAAAGGGATTGAGCTCAGTCTCCCAAAATCCAAAGTGCTTTTCCCGGAGGGTCTTTGCATGTCGTCTTTGACAAACGACGAACAGCAACAATTGACGAAAATTGGTCTGTCAGTTGCTGAAGGTGGCATGCCAGTTGTCGGGATCCCAGTAGGAACAGAGGAGTTCCAGAGGAATTTCGTTTCCAAAATCGCCCGTGGTGACCCGGCGGAATTGATACTCCGCCTAGCAACGCTTGACGACCCTCAAGCCAGCTATCAACTGCTGCGTTTATCTGGTGTGCCACGTTTGTTCCATCTGCTGAGGACGATTGCACCGTCTATCACCAACTCTGCCGCAAAAATACATGACAACATGATGATGTGGGCAATGAGTAAGATCGTCCTTGGCAAGATGACCGACAGCATGAGAATACCAACGGACACAGAAGTACGCGCAGACCCGA